AGCTGTTGTGAGAGCACTGTTCGTACATACATACACATGTGTACCCACATATATACGCACATTGTGGATAAGGGCGCAAATCTGTAGCCAAATATGGCAGCTGGTTCTGATCGCTCGAAAATAAATAATCATCAAAAAACTGTACAGAACTTTATCAAGGTAAAATAATGAGAAAAAAACTTCCTGCTCAGAGTGCAAAATAAATTAAATAATATAAATACTTTTGTGAATTTCAAAATATTGATAAAGGCAGCCCGCATAATTGTAACAAATTAAAAAAATAAAATAAATAAATAAATAAAAAATACATGTAAATAATAGAATAATAAGTATTATAGGTATTCTTATCGTTAGGCATACACGAAAAATCATTAAAGTAAAATATATTAAAATATACTAAAATATAAACAATATACTAAAGTAAAATAAAAAAAATTAAATTAAATTAAATTTTAAAAAATTACTTAGATAAAATAAAAAACATTAAATAAAAAAAATTATTATACACTATTAAATATATTATATTGTATCGTAAGGATTATATGTTAATTTTCATAGTAAAGAAAAAATATTAAAATATTAACTAATATACTACATTTAAATGAAATATCTACCTAAATATACAAACTAAAGAAATACAAAAAAAATAACATATATATTATACATTAAAATATTTGAAAAAAAAAAACCGAAAATAAAAAAAAGTTTTAAGAAACTCAAAAAAATTTTATTTAGTGTCAATGGGTTTTTAAAAATACTGAAAACACAAGGCATTTAAAACATTTTTAGATTTAACAAAGCACTACGCAGTATATATTTTCAGACAGCTTAGTCTAGCTAACAGTAAACGACAAACAACAAACAGCAAACATCAAACTCCAGTATTTCGCAACTTGGCCCAGACAATTACGACTGCAAAATAAATTGCAAAAGTGTTTTGAAAAACAAATCAACTATGTTTCAATAGCATGTCATAAAGCATTTGCTTGTTCTATTTTGTTTTGTTTTTTTCTCTTTCCGATTTTTTGCATTTTCTCTATTTTTTCAATGTTTTCTTTATTTTTTCGTATAGATTGACAATGTGAAGGACGCTGACGACTGTCATCAAAATGCAAACGAAGCCGACGGAACGCTTTTTGTATTGAGCCACCAATTCTATGCAGTCGAAAAGTTCTCCAGCCCAAAATTGACAATGGCCAGTGAGCATTTCAGACAACAACGGCACAAACGACAACAAAAATATTTCTGATGTCTGGCCATCAGTTACAGAGGACAGAGAGGACAGTGAGACGGAGAGGACAACGCGCATAGTCAACGTTCAATTGTTGTTTGGCATTCATCAATTTTTAGGGTTGCTGCAGCATTCGCGAAATGCTGACGCAAACACTCAAAGCGCCAACATTTTTGTTTTTATGCGCTCTCGAAAAGGGTTTAAGGGGGTATATTAGTTTTGTCTGATATTTCGTCTGTTCTTTTTATTACTATTTATTTTAATTTATAGTTTAACTATGAGGCGATTAAGACTTGCTGACATGTCTATACTCGTTAAAAAATTAAAAATAAGTATATATATTTAGTTTTACGATTTTCTTGTCAGTTGTTTTATTGAAAACAATTTTTTTTTTTTTTAACTCAACTTTTTGTGCTTCTTTAATATGTTAAATTCTAAGCTCAATATTATCAATATAAAATTTAACCCCTTTAACTCTATCGAATACTTAAATGTTGTTTCACATTTTCATTTGAAACACTGAGCGAGCATTGTGCAGTCGGTCATAGCTTTGTCTCCATTTCTATTTTTATGATTTCCATTAAGCTGTTGAATTTGCATTCCATCTAAAATTCACGACTCTATATACACATACATATACATATTGCAATACATACACACATGTTCGTGTTTATACAGAAGTCTATCAAATATTTCTATTATTTCAATTATATGCTGTAGGTCAGTGCCATGGAGAGTGCATCCATATTTTAATGAACCCATTTCAGCTGTGATTCACTCAAATATTAAATGTCATCTAAAAATTGTTTGCTTTTTTTGTGATATTTTATCGTAAACGATGATGTAATTTATGGCCGATATTAAATTTAATGCTCAACAAAAGCAAACAACAGTCGTAGCAGCAACAAAAAAATACAAAAATTCAATATTGCTGTGGCCAATTATGTCAAGTACTTATATGGTGCTTTAATTGCTTTACGGCGCACTTTTGTAAGCCGAATTAATATTTAAATTGAGAAAAAAATATATGTCAATTATTTCACTTATGCATATGAGCGAAAATGAAAGATGGTGATAAAACATGTAGGAACAGTTAGAAAAAGTGAGGAATATACTTTAATGTTAGCTTCTCTTTTTAAATAAATTTAAATTGTTATTTGTTAGTATAATTTACATTATTAAAAACTTGTTTTACAGCCGATCTAAAAATGATATAATGAGATAAGAACGAAGTGTGAATCACAAGCTGAAGATGTTTGGAGAAGACGAATGGGAAGAAGCGAATATAATGAGGGAGAGAGCCAATCGAAAATGAGGGAGGGGGAATGAGACAGAGAGAGAGAGAAAGACATGTCTAGAGAGGAATAGTGAGAGAGAGAGTAAAATGCAGAGTGAAGGAGAGAGTGAAAGAGGGAGAGATTTCCAAGTCTTAGCAGATAATTGACGAAAAGTCAAAAAATTAGAAGAGGTTAAGTTTCATGAATGTGAACTATATATATATAACTAAGTTATCGAACATTGTTTATAAATTGTAAATATTAAATTGACAACAAAATAAGAAATAAACATCTAATATAAATTCAAGTCAATAAGCATAATCTTACACATAAAAATATATATGAATAAGGAAATTTATTAGGACATTGTTTAAATTATGTCATTCAAAATGAAGTTTATCAGACAAAAATCTCACTTGTTTTATATCATATCGAATTACGCCCAAAAAAGAACGGAATATGTGTTACCATTTATATAAACGACTCTTAAGCTACATTCTAACCAGCTGAATGTTATGATCTAAAAAAATATAATAAGAAAACATAAAATCCATTGAGAACGACATATTACGACCCTTAACTGTAGCTTATGGTTGTCTGTCAGCCGTTTGGGTCTGGCATTATTGCAAAATATAAGATATGATACGGTACTCAGGCCGAGTTCTCACAGTATGGCGCCCAATTAGAGCCCCGGCCAGCGCCTAAATTAAATTATAATGAATAAAGCGCGTTATGGTTATGGCAAATTTACCATAAACGCGAGCGACGCGATCAAACTGGCTGCCAGGCTGGCTAACTGGCTGTCAAATTTGGTCAACATGGTCAAGTTTCAATTAGGCGGGCACAGCAGTTGGTCAAGCCAACACGTACGCACACTCAATATAAATACATATGAATTATATGTTTGTATGTTTGTATAGCTCTAT